AGAAAACTCCCTATGCAAGAACATGGTTCTGCTGACGACAATTTGAAAAAAAAATTATAAGGTGTCCACAGAAAAATTAGTTCTATCGTTAAGGGTTTTTTTTTTCAATTTTCTACTAGCGAAGTTTTGACGATGGCTAGCTGAATTTACATTTTCACACAAACGGATCTTGCATCATTTCCCTTTCATAGTAGGAAAACGGTATAAAGGAAATAGGATTACGGTTGTATTTGTCGCTAGCACAAAGCTTTAGGCTGGCTCGAAGAAAACTTGTTTACTGAGTATGCTGAGCCTAAAGATAGATAATTAACACAGCAAGAATTTGTGTAATATTTTGTAGCAAAGTTATGGTAAGTGGTTAACGGTGACAGTCACTTATAGCATCACACTGCAACCATACCGTAATCACCGAAGCTGTAAGAACCGTTTCCAAATGAAAATCTAACAAGTTCAAGGCTAGTTTTAGAAGAATTGTTGACGACGTGATTTGCAAAAAAAAATTATAACGAGTCGAACATTGTTATAAGTAGTATTATCAGATACAGAATCTTTTCAAGTTTCTGTATCCGATACCAATACTTCAAACTTCTAGCACTAATTCTTTTAGTTTTGAGTCCACTCCACACGAATCATCGTAACATTAACGTTTTGCAAAGCCATGTGGTACATTATTACTTCGATAAACTGATATTCCATACCATATCCTAAAATCAGAAAACGTAGTTTGAGATGGCAATAAAGCGTGGCGCATTTACATGTTTACGCTGCTTATAATGTATAGTAAGTAATCACATTATGAGCACCAGAATCTAATTGACTATGCATGCTTTTTCTATGTTCTAGCCGCAAATAATCGATAAACGAAAGTAAAGTATTGGAGATCTTCACCCAATGATTGCACGACTTGAAAGGGGTTATAATTATTCCAAGGCTATAGTTTTCCCATCGCTTCTAAAGGTTGTAAATCACTCTCATTAAGAAGATTACTAGTTGAACTTTTGAAAATGAAAAATAATGACTACTCGAGCAAGTGGTATTTTAGTAGCTATGTTTTCCTTACATCTAACACTGCTTGAAAGAAGAGAACAATAAATAGAATGGGCAATTTTGCAAAATCACAACTTAGCGAAAATCGCAAGGTGCTCGTAGACAATCAATCTCCTTTTTTGAAATGAAACGCCTTCTTACCCTCTCCTAAACCGCAGAGCTGGATACAACGCAACATAGGTACGAGGCACTAATCCAGTTTCATTATGTCCGACACGCTCACATGACCACCAATTCTATAAAATTATCTTTTAAAAAGTAGGAGTGCAGATATTATGTGCTTACCTTCTCCTTATCATCTTTACTTATCACTCGTAATTCATCACCGGCTTTGAAAGACAGTTCATCAGCAAATTGAGCATCATAGTCATACGCAGCATATACCTAAAGAACATTAGAGATTGTTTGATCCTGACAGGAGTATTGAAAATTGATGAAAAATAAAAATTTTAGTTATGGAAAGAAACCGAAAGCCTCCTTATGATGTGGTGAATTGGTATCAAAAATGAAAAATGCAAATTCGAAAAGGGCACAAAAGTAGCATTTTGCTTGTAATGTGATATATTTATTGAAATGAGTTGGAGATAGCGAGATAATCAAGTGTTCTGCATGCCATTTATTAAGGTAAAACTAAATCTTTATGAATGTGATGAAAATGGAGAGGAACAAACGCACCTAACTACTAAAAAGTGATGTTTTAGTAAACTTTCAAAAGCTTAACTAGCCATGTTATATGAGGGAAAAAGAGCAAAACTAACCGTTCCATTATTTACAGTTCCCGTTGCGTTATGAGCAGCGGTCAGATACCGCAAACAGCCATCGTAGCCCTCTTCATCTTCCTCGCATTTTTCCACAGGTGTCTCCATATCCGATAAGGTAGAGGCTAACACGCATGCGCCACCTTCTACCAGTTGACGCACCTGAAGTTGTTTGGTATCCAGA